AATTAAATTGTAAACAAAAGCGCTCGACCACTTGGAAACAGAAATAAGAAAACAACCAGTTTACTTACAGTAAACTCGGAAAAAACACTTCGTAGAGCAGAACAAAGAACTTAAAGTCAATAAGGAACAGTTCATATTTGGTTTGAACGGCAGGAAATGGTACATTAGATGTTAAACTGCATTTATGACAAATACCATTTCAGAAGAGAAGTGAAACTACAACATGCGCAACTCACATAACTATTTGTAATGTTCACACATTCATGCGCATTGGGTTTTCCCGAAACGGCAATAAAATTCTCTTTCTTTTGGTACAGTCAAACCTGTGTAAGACGGCCACCCATTATCAAGGAGAAGAGTGGCCGTATAAGACAGGTGGCCGTCTTAGGCAGGACTGATCAAGAAGAAGAAAACAAATTATTCCTATCACAGGTCCCAATCGAAAGTAGCCGCGTTGTTTTTGTTGTTGTTGGTGGTGGTGGTGGTTTGTATTTTGTTTGTAATTTTTATTTTGTTGCTGATTTCGCAAAAGGGTGACAATAAAACGAAATGTATCAGACAAGGAAGACCGAGTGCGAAGTACATGTAAAAACAAACTCATGGGTCGCCACCACTCGGAGAACGAGTGACGTTTCTGTCACAAGTTCATGTTGACGTCCTTTGTTACTTTGTTTTTCTTGATAATTTTAATATTAAAAACCAATTAATTCTTTGAAACGATAAAACAACGAAGAACGAATTTCTCTAAAAATTTGCTTTTTGCGTCACTTCCGTACATACAGATTGTAAACAAGAACGAGAAACGTGAGGAACCTTGAAGTTTCAAGACGCATAAAAAATCCCTTGGCAGTTGTTCACCAGTCAACCGTATGAAGATGAGCAACAGCGATGGAAGGGGAAAAGATTGAGATTACATCCAATGGTAAACCTGGTAGAGGGAGTCCAGACGGAATAATTTACGCTAGCCTACTTCAACTTCCTCCTTCCTGCATTCTCGTTGTCTCGCTCCACTCCCCTCTAGTTCTAGTCTCTGCCTCTACCAATCTAGAGTTAGAGATATCTATTCTAGAGTACATCCTGTGGTGCGATATACAGTAGGGCTGTACCCCGGTAGCAAACACGCTCGTGCTCGTAAACCCCTAGTTCAAGTCACAACAAGCCTCAAATCACTAGATCTAGGTCAAATCATCAAATCAAATCACCAGCATGATACGTCGAGTCTAGCCTCAGCTTCAAGTACCCACACCAACTTGCAATCCGCGAAGCCACTCGTGTCTGACCCCCTCTTCCTTCCCCTCCTTGCTTGCAATCCGCTAAACCACTAACGTCAGAAAGAGAGAGATGGGGAGAGAGAGAGAGAGACCCCGCGCACAGTGTCACTGCGCCACAAACTAGTCTGTTCGATTAATCAAAGGCATACGAGCAGCGGACGGCAGACAAGACTCAAATCGCAGCAGAGCAAAGCACTTGGCCCCAAGACCTGCTTTGCGTCTCATATTGCTTTGTGCTAAGGGCTTGTTCTCGTGCCAATAAATCTGCTTTGAGTCCAACTACCGCCCTGGCAGGACAACACCGCTCGTCAGTACAACACCGCTCGTCTGCACCGGGCAGCAAGATCTACCGGTAATCCACCCTGCTCGCGGCATGAACTCTGAACTCTGGACGTGGAGGAAGCGAGAGGCTGCGCTGGTTTTGGTGCAAGGCGAAGAGGGCTGTAATAGCCTAGTTCAGACCGTTCGCGACCTCGGTGCTTTAACAGTGAAAATGTGACATCTTCGTAGGCTCACATTTTGTTATAGAGCTGTTTTCACTGGTACTAAAAATGGAGATACGACAAGAAAGCACTGGGGTTGCGGTATGCTAAACTATTTAGGACGCAGAATAAAGGTGTGAACACTTACAAACAATTTTTAACTGACAAAATAAATCAGTATTATTAAAGCATCCCGTGGCTTGTAATTTAATCACTCGCCTAAACTACACTTCCACTCCCACCCCGACACTTACAACAAGTTGAAGTTGAAGAGAAAGCATTGGGGAGGGGATGACAATCGTGATTTTGTCTCTGAACAATGTAAACAACTTTTGATTTGACTGCTTCCCTATCAGAAGACCATAAATTATATCACATTGTTAATTACATTGTAGACCTATAATTAAAAAAAAACCCCAACATCTTGCTGCACTGTAACTGATATTATGTATGTATTGTGCATGTTCTATCATACAAATATTAATTATGATGTTGAATTACGCCCAGAAAATCAATAAAGCAAAATTTAACATAATCCTTCCCCCCACCAAAAAATTTTTTTTTTAATCCACAAAAAACTGAACCAAAACCCCCCCCCAAAACAAGACAAATAAAACCCTGTCACACCAGGAGGCGTAAGGGGAGGGGCGGGTTCTACGGAAAGCGAGGGGTGGCGAACACCTCTCGCTTTCCCAGCCATACCACCCCCTCCCGTCCCCAAACAGCGCCATTGCTGGAAGTGTGAGGGTTTTTTAGGGCTTGTCAGCGTGCGGCACGTGGGCAGAAGTATCGCGCGCTCAGTAAACAAGAGTTTGTGACGTCACGACACAAATCAGTAAGCCCGTCCGCCGTCCACGAGAGGCAACTCCGATAGCGGGCAAGACTCAAGCCCGCTTGCAAGCCTCTGGCACGAGCCGTCCGTCGCTCGCAAGCCTTCGATTAATCGAGCAGACTCCAGCCCTAATATACAGTAAGCGGTCTTTTGTGGATATCTCTGGAAGTTACAGGTCGATCTTCATGATTTTTTCACCAGAAGTTAGAAGAAAAACTTCCTCTCTATACGGTGTAGCGCATTACTGTAACAGCAGTTTAAAATTTCTATATGTTGTGGTGGTGTTTGTTTGGTAACGTGTGTCTGGTTTGGTGCGCAAGGTGTCTGGTTTGGTGCAATATATCGTCTGGTTGGGTGCGCAATAGTACCATGTTTACAGCTCTAGATCTAGATCTAGCTCTTTTCTGACACTTTTCATCTTTCTCTATCCTGGCCTTGTTTTCTTTTCTTTGCAAGAAGTTCCTGTACTGACCATAACTGAAGGCCAAGGTCAATGAGGTGTGTTCTTTTTGGGAGCTGTGCACCCCCTAACAGGAGATTTCCTTACACCGTGTGTATGTGTTTTGATAATGGATAAAAAGAAAGGTGCTGTGGACACAAGAAGGGGAAAGAAGAAAACAAGAATAAGACTATACCTAGACTAGTATTTTAGAAGGAAAAGGACAAAAAAGAAGAAGAAAAAGACATGAAAAGAAGAAATTGAACATTTTGGAGATTAAATTTCCATATTAATTAATTTTGACATGAATACATTAACTTATCATCTTCCAATGGCAATATAATGCATCCAAATGAAAGGAAAACAGTCTGTTTCAGTGCACAATGCAGGTCATAAAGAAATAACTTAATAAGTAAAACAAACAAACGGCCTAGAAGCCACACTATCAATGCCAAATAGCAAAAAAGCCGATATTGCGCACTGAAACGGACTGCACAAATTTGGTCTGCTTCAGTGCGCAACCCTAACTGGCATTTTCCTGGGCATTAAGAAGCAGCCTGCGATAGTATTTATCGATTCTAGTATACATTCTACGATACATTAGAGACTAGATGGGCTAAATAATCGACTACTCAAGCGCTTAGTAAATTCACCGATACCGGTTACGAAAACCATTAATATGAATGGGCAAAACTTTCTGACAAAGTAGAATCACGTGAGTTGACGGGAACCTCCAAAACGAAAGTGAAATAAGCTGCATTTTGCGCATGCTCACAGAAAGTGACCTAGTTTTCGCTGTTCTTATCCAAAACAAAGCAGGAGACCGGGGGTTGCGCACCAAAACAGATGCACAGTGACCTGGTTAGACTCTAGATCTAGATCTAAAATTAGAGGCCTAGATTCTAGATCTAGAATCTAGTACTGTCTAGACTAGATTACAGTCGAACCTGTGTAAGACGGGATCGCAAGGGAGCCAGAAAAAAAATTCCGTCTCAGGGAAATTTAGGGGATGATGGGGGGGGGGGGGGGGGGCGCTTTTTCGGTAGTTCCCACCCTGCAACTGTTATTCACCGGTTTTGGCCCCAAGAGTAGGGGGGTTTTACAATAATTTGATGTTTTGCAGTTGTTAGGTTTGATATATCTTAGCTCGTGGCGCATCAAACATATAGATCTCGATGTAGATCTAGGCTCAAATAATGGGGTGGGAACTACCGAAAAAGCACGGGGGGGGGTTCGAAGGCCCAGCCGGTGGGATCAAGGATGGCTTTGTCCGATCGGCAAGCAGTGGTCAAAACTTCACACTTCTCAACTCTGATAATGACATGCATGCGGCAGTCTTACTTATAATCCAATTACCACCAGTGCTTGCCTTTCATAGGACCACTGTTTGACCTATCTATTAAAATAAACAGAAACGTTTGAACATCTCCTTTGCTTCCACCCTTAGCTCCATCCTCCTGTGTAACAAGCACAGTCAGCCAATGCCTCCCCTCACTGCACAACAATTCGAGGAACTCTTTTCTCAGTTGGCATACGATCAGGGTAGCAGGTATTGGTCAAACTAATTTCACACCTCTGGCTTCTGGTTACCCAGGAAAGTTTCCGTGGTGGCTCGCTACTAGAGCACTCTCGCACTCTCACGGGCAGTCGTGAGATTTCACACCCATGCTACCCTGACCATCAACATCGCTCAGGGCTCACATGATGGGGTACCCCCAAAGAGCGGGCAAAGCATTTTCAGTCTTAGACTGGTGAAACCCTCGGAAGGGAGCGGATTTCTCTTTCCGTTTCTGCGTTGGACAGGTTTCCGTTTTACACAGTAGGTAATTAAAAAGGAATGTCAAGGGGGGAGCGGGGAGATTCCATTAAGACTGGTTTCTGTTTTATACAGGTTTCTGTTAATACAGGTTCGACTGTACATCTCTAAGATCTAGATTTACTAGATCTAGTCTAGACTTATACACTCTGGATTCTATCTAGTTCTAAGAATCTAGGCTCTTGCTGCTGTCAATCTACTGGTACTGACACTATCATATATATGATAATAATGCCGCTGTCTCAGTCTATGGCTTAACTCTTGTCCTGCGTCTGTGCTGAGATGCGAATCTTATCAGTGAACCGATTAGGTCGGTCGTTCCAGGCAGGCCGACGGGGTCACTCAGTGTGTACTGTTGGTGTACAGCACACGCACCGGGAAACGTGTGTTTTCGCCGTGAATACCATGGGAGTGTGTTAATCGATGATGAAATTAACGCTCTATCTTTCATAGCTTTCTATTTATATTATGAAGTTTTACTAACACATGAATAACCCCCTCTCACAAGCTGATAAGACATTACAAGTAGTTACGCCCAATCGAATTTACCTTTCTTGACGCTTTTGTTGTTATGAAATGACCTGGGGTTTGAAAGGGGATAGATTTCTAGGTCAATTTCCGAATGTTTTGCACTCAGTTAAGTTCTTTGTACCTGCACAATAGTATTGAACATTTTTGGCCTCTCCCGTAAAAAATATTCTGTCTACCGACACTACTGCGGCGGATGTGGGACCGGCCATGGCCGGACCATTGATTGATTGCAGTCCCACTTAATGATTGCAGTCCTTTCTGCACAATAAATTAAGGTTCAAGGAACAGAGAGCATGAGTGTGTGTGAGTTTGTGATATTTTTTTGTTTTGTTTTTTGAGGAAGAGAAGGAGAAAGATGGAGTAGAAGGAGAAGAGAAAAGGAAATTCTGGTAGACTAGGTTCAAACCCGATAGTTTTGGAGTGAAGGAGGGGAAAGTTTGAAATTTCAATGGAGTTGAGGGTTCAGTGCTAGGCGACAGTGGAGAATGAGGGTTTTTATGGGAAAAACTTTATTTGTTTGGACAAGGGTGGGACCGAAAGGAGTACATTTAGGGATGGCAGTGTGAAATTTTTCTTAGCTATCTAAGAAATGGGCTATAGAATTTTTTTTCTGGGCTATGTGTATATCCTGCAACTGGTTTGATTACTTGCTTTTTAAAAACGAAATTTATGGAACTGTTTGTTATTAAACTTTTTCTTTTGATATTCAGAATTTAATGTGATATATATAATGCATGTTTTTGTGAACCCTGTTTGGAGTTGTTTTTGACCCTTCTCTTTTCAAAATCTCAGACAGCGGAGCCAGTCCTGAGCTGAAAGAGCGCCATGTGGTGTCTGTGCCTTATGTGCAACAATGCTACCACTGGGACTGTGGACTGGCTTGTGTGTCCATGATCTTACAGTGAGTTCTGGTGTTGATATAGTTGTGAGGTTTATGTTTTGTTTGAGTTCTTCTTTTTCCCATTTTTTTTTCTTTTGGGGTGGCTTGCTGTGTTGTTATGTTTGTTTATTATGTCAGGGTTGTGTGGTTGGTTGGTTTGGGGGTTCAAGTATTTTTGTAATTTCTTTTTTTGTCCCATAGAAATAAAGGGTGGACAAAGAGACTTAATTTTAAGTAGAAAAAAACGTGAAGTTGAATAAAGAGGATAGGTATATTCATATTAAAAGGATTCTTGAACCATTCAATTATTCCTACTAAGCTAGATCCCTGTTTTGGTACCAAACCTGAGAGTTTATACAAATCACTAAATTAGTCATTAAAACTAAAACAAATTCACAAACGAAGGTATTTTGACAGTTCTTCATCTAATGAAAGAACAACCAGTAAGAGAGGCCTATTTTTAGCAGTTGAAAAAAAATAAATATAATGTTGTTGTCGTTGTAAAAGAATTTGACTGAGCCACTGACAGCGACTTCTTGGTTCCGCGGTTCCAACTGCCAGCTGCTGGCAGCGGCTACCGAAGATAAAAAGTAGTTAAACATATGTATTTATTTTATTGAAACTAAAACTTCTCAATATGAAATTTGTTACTGTTACTTATTTATTTTTATTACATGAGGTAAATGAACATGAATCATGACTGCTGTAATCATATGAATGTGTATTTTTTTAGGAGAATAAATTCACAAAAATTTTCTCAATGAGCTGATCCAAGTGAAATGATGCGAGTTCTCTTTTATTTTTACAGTAGTCTTGTATACTTCTCTCTATTTTCCTCGTCAGGATGTTCAAGGAACCTTGTGATGATGTGTACACAAAGGACTTGGATTTTGTCCAGTGTGGGGAAAGGTATATAGTATATATCCATAATGTAAAAATATTTTTGAAAGTTACATTTTCTCATGATTTTGCTTCCTTCCTCTTGCACTTACTTTGGAGGAGTGTTCATGTCTCTGTGTGGTGATAGCCTAGATTGATATGTGAGGCAGCATGGTGGATTCAGGCTCTCGTCAATTTTTGTTCTTGTAGAGTTATTGGTATCGTCTTAAAACTCGTTCATTTGTCTTTATATGGGTGAAAAAATATCCATTTATCTTGAATACTAGTCGAGATATTTACGAATGAAGGGTGTGGGGGTCACCTGTTTTCAGAGGTAAGATTAGTGAGAAAATGGCCCCAAAGGTGAGTTATTTCCTTAGCTTAAGAGTCCACAGTAACTGAAAATTTACATTTTGTGTGCCTTTAATCAGCATTTTTCAGAAAAATCCATACAGAAATGAGTTCTTTAATGGGCATGAAAGGTGTTGAGCCAAAAAACAGAAATGTTTTAAAAATTCACAAACATGCAGAAAAATGCCAGTTTCTTCACTTTGATTATTTTGACGAGAGCTTGATCCCACCACGCTGCCTCACATATATATTGACACCAGTGATGCTGGTTTAACATGTAAGATAAGATAAGACTTTATTGCCTAATCGTACTTAGGAAAATCTTTATGAAGAGGGGCGAGGAAGCATAGAGCACCACGTCTTCCTAAGACCCCAGTTCTACATTCAAGTATTCAAGTGTATACTTATGAAAATTTGTCTCAGCTTTCCAGGAAGTATTGTGATGGTGGTGGCTCTCCATTAGTTCTGTGAAGTGATGCATGATTGACTTTTGTTGAATTCGTTTCTTTTAGTTCTTTCGTGTAGCTCTAAAACTGCTTTATCTCTGCGGATTCCCAGCATTCTGATAATTTCACGTATATACCTTTCTTGTTGTCTTTCAGCGTGTGGACGATTGACCTAGCATATATCCTGAACAGGCACAAGGTGCACACCTCTATGTACACAGTCACACTGGGGGTCCATGAGAGTCACCACAAAAAGGCAAGTGGGTGGTCGGCGGGTGCTCTGGTGTGGTTTGCTCCTTTTTTCCTATTAAACATCTGTGTCGGCCGTTTCTCTCCTTTTTTCTTGTGTTTATTACTCTCTTGTAACTTCTCTAATCTTCGGCATTTATGTGACATAATTATGTTGCAAGTACCGTAAAACACTTACTGAAACAAAGTGGCAAAGTCTATTCTGCTGTCCTAATGTGTATATAATGAATGTATGGCTGAAAAATTTCTTTGATATGGTTTAACTGGTTTTCTTGTTTATATGAAATGTTTTTCTGTTGTGTATATGAGGTTTTACTCTCAGTAATCATGTCATTGATGACTTCTACAACACTCCCATTTTGGTTCATGTACTGGTATTCGCTAGGATTTCTTACACTTTTTGTAGAGTGTGGAAACAGGATAGATAATAACTACAATTGAGTATTGAAACAGGTAAATATTCTGGTTTTCTGCTTCTGATCGATAAATATCTTCTTCTCAGGCGTTCTACAAGGAGTCGATAGGTGAGGATGCTATCAGGGTGAACAAAATGTTTGACAACGCTCTGCAGAATGGATTGAGTGTTGAGAAAAGGTACAGCCATCTTGGTTCTTCTTCCTTGTGTCATGTGCTCGCAATAGATGGAAGCGCTGTATTTTTTTCTTATTTTGGTTTTTGAGGGAAACTTTGTTGCTGATAAGAATAGATCAAACAGATTTGTGCATTTTAGACTTTGGTACGAGTATGGCAATGACAGTCAGTGACAATTAATTCAAGTCAGTTCAAAGTAAAGCTAAAGTTGCTGGCTACTTTCGGAATTAATATTTATACAGCCAATCTTTGTATTCTTCTGTGAAGGAAAGCATTAAACAAACAATTTTCGTTCATTTAAGAGGTAGTCACTGGGTGGTTTGTGAACATCAGTATGCTTCACTTATAAAACAGAAGTTGGTGAATTTAAGATGTAATTTTCTCTGTTCCTTTTCTTTTTGCCATTAGTGACCCTCATGTTATTAATCACGTAATGCTTGAATTTGTTCACATACATTGTTTTCACTGTGTTCAAATACTTTGGAATTTCGTCAGTCTTTTGTTTGCTGTAACACAGTGCTGTTGAATATGAACAAGAAATAGTTCTGTGGGTGGTTGGTGGGTGTTCTGGTGTTGTTTGCTCCCTTTTTTCTATCAAATATCTATCGCCCTCATCTCTTCTTTTTTTTTTTTTTGTGTGTTTGTAACTCCTTGTATCACCTCTAATCTTCTCCTCTTACATGACCTAATTGTGTTGCAAGTGCCATAAAACTCTTACTAAAACTAAAAAAAAGAAATTATTTCTCTCTCTTACAGAAGTCTTTCAATTGATGATTTGATGGAACACTTGCAGCGGGACAACCCAGTCATCGCCCTGGTTGACTGGACTCAGATGAAGTGCGAGTGGTGTGATAGCAAGGTCCGAGTCGTTCATTTGAAACTTTCCAACGCGGGATGGTTGGCTGGTCCTGTGGTGTTGGTTTTCTCCTTCTTTGTCTATCAAATATCTATCGTCCTTATCCCTCCTTCTTTTTTTTGTGTTGATTACTCTTTTGTAACGCCTGCAATTTTTGGCACTTATATGACCTTGTTGCGTTGCAAGTGCCGTAAAATTCTTATTAAAAGTAAAACTTACAAGCAAAATATTTCGAACCGTGTTATTAAAAAGCCTATTGAGCGTAGGTGGAAATGTTTGTGAAAATAGCTGTTTATGACTGATCAGTTACTGGTGTTTGTCATGAAGTGGTTTGGCTCTTCGCCATCGTACACAGGCGACCTGAGTTCGATTCCCAAGTGTAGAAAAATTTTTGTGAAGTATCTTGGTCTTTCTGCCGGGATGTTATATATTCCTCTTAGCTCAGGTTGACAGTGACAGGTGTGGTTCAAGCCCACCTCCTAAATGATCTAAAGTGTGTTGTTGGGGTCGTAAAAACGCACACACTTAAAAAGAAAACAAAACATCACCCCTCCCCCATTAAAAAAAATAAACTAATAAACTGGAAAAGTCTTTTGTTTACTGAGCTTTTTATCTTAGGTCTTGCTTCATTTTTTCATTAATTTATTCTTTTCTTTCATTCATCGTATCATCAATCACTTCATTCCTCCTTTCAGCTGAAGCAGTGCTGGTCGTGCATCACTTGCCATGCTGGTCCATACCAAGGTGAGAGGTCTTGTGTGTGTGTGTGTGTCTGTGTGTGTGTGTGTCTGTGTGTGTGTGTGTGTGTGTGTGAATGGGTTCCTGGCCATAGACGGCGAAAGATCTTGTCAGTATGTTGGTGTTTTAATGTCTGTAAAGTGGCACCCTGCATTGTATGTTTCCCAGGAAGTGGAAATTGTTTCAGAATGCATTTAGGTCCACTGGGTTAATAATACAGATTGTGAATTTCATAGAGCTTGCTGTTGAGTGGGAGTATGTGCTATACTAATTCTGTGTATTATTATTAATTTTACTATTATTATTATTATTATGTTTGTGTCAATAAATATGTCTTAATCTACAGGCCATTACGTGGTGGTGTGTGGATATGACAGACAGAAAGGGCTCATCTACTATAAGAATCCAGACGCAAGAGCTCACGGTGAGACCCACTGTTTTCGTTTACTTTATTGCTGTTATTAACTCTTTATCTCTGAGGGGGAGGGGGGGGGTAAACCCACGATGCCGGGGTCCTACTTTGGTACGAAATCTAAAATTGACAGTTTGTCACTCAATTGGTCATTAAATCAAAACAACCCATTTCGATAGGTGTTCATCTTATGAATGAATGAACTGGTAAAAGAGACATGTTTTCCTCAATTGCTGATAAATAATTTGACGCCGAAGACGTAAAGGAATGCGCCTGAGCTGGGAGCAGCTTGCCAGAGATAAAGAGTAAGTTGTGAACTCTAGCACGGTCTGTTTTAGGTCTTCCTTGTTAACGCTTTGCTGCCTCCTCATGATACAGTTTAGGTGAGCTCACCCCATCTGTTGCTGTGATAGTGATTGGTGGGTGCTCTGGTGTGGTTTGTTCCTTCTTTCCTGTCAAACATCTATGGTCCCGATGTCCCCTCCTTGTAATATTTGTATGTTACTATCAAGTAACTCCTCTAATCTTTGGCACTTACATAACCTAATTGTGTTGCTGGTGCCGTAAAACTCTTCCTAAGACAAGCAGTTGTTGTTGTGTAGTGTATTGTCATGCTAAGTATCAGGCAGTTGTAGAGATAAGTGACTATTAAAACATTGAGACTTAATGCATAATCCCTGATAATTTTTTTTCCTAAAAAGTTACGACAGACTTCTGTGGCCCCCAGTGAATGCTGTCTGATGCATCTGTATGTCAGTGAAATTGAATTTCTGTAGTCAGCTTATTTGGCTTTTTTGTAGTTTTATGGCTATGTTTTGCTTTTTCCAGTTTACTTCATAGACAAATCAGTTTTGTCGCAAAAGACTGTTTTCTTGGTTGGTTAAAAAATTTTTCTTGCTTTTTTTTTTTGTTAAACTTTTTATTGAAATCAGGTTATATTTTAAGCATTTTAGAATTACATCATCTTTTTTTTTCACGCATTTACTTTTATTATATTTGATGTTGTTTTGCACTCTGTATCTGGTGCCAGACATGTGCTGTATGCAGATGTCCCAGTTTGACAAAGCCCGCACCAGCGATGGGACGGATGAGGATATCCTGTACATATACAACACGACATTCCGGGGTGAGTTGGCAAGTTTTGTTCATTTCCGAAATGTTACAGTTTTTTTGTCCTTATGTTTGAATGTTTTATTTTAAGGCTTTTTTGTTTGTGGTGTTTAATGATTGAACCATTTCTGCGTAAAACACGAATGCCATTTTCAAAGTTTAGCTGAAACTGGGACGTTGGTATCTGGTTTTATCCCTCTTGAAGTAACTAGTACGTGACGCTTTTTTACAAAACCTGACAAAAGTGGTCAGCTTTCCGTGGCGTACCCTCTGCGTCACCACCTCCTTCCTCAGTCACAAATATCTCGACTTCTATTCAAGATATGTGGGTATTTTTTTCATTAAAATAAAAGCAAGATGAAGGAATAAGCTTAAAGATGATACCTTATAACTCCATTTGCTCAGAAATTGACGAGCACCAGATTCCAACATGTCATGACTCAGATAATGGTGGTGTTGTTTGCAGAAGTTCCCTTTGGAGAAGAGCAGTTTTTAAGGTTTTTTATTTCCCACCTTTTATTACTAACACAGTAGTGTTTCTGCTGATGTTTTTCAGGGGGTGAAGGAGATATCAGGTTCATGGACCATCAGGAGCAGTCATGGGCATCATCTCATCGTCGTGGCGACTCGGAGTAATGTTTCCTGAAAGATGCATGCTGGTCGCCTACTCGTGTTCACACAATCGCTCATTTTTAAAGAAAGATGGCGAACCGATCTTTCTCAAGCAGAGAAGATTCACTGGTTCTAAATAATGAAAATTCTCTATTTTTATACTGATATTTTTTTTCATGATTTTTGTTCAATTTGGGTTGGGTAATGTTCTGTGGATGTCCTTCTTCCTTGTATCAGGGGAGGGTACTTGTAGTTTTGGCTTTTGACATTTATTTTTGTAGTTTTGTGTACAGGCTCTGTGTTGTTGCGAGCTTCAAGGCATAACTTACAAAATTTAAACAGACTCAGGAGTTTCATTCATTATTTTTGGTATCTAATGTGTGCCCCGATCAGAATGATCATTCTTAACTAAAATTAATTTTTAAAGATATTTTATATTTTGTATTTTGTATTTTCTCTTATCCGAGTTCAAAGGTGTGTTTTTTGTTGGTTTTTTTTGGTAAACAGGCCTTTTTTATGAGGATCTTTCTCTTTTTTTTGTTTTTATGTTTCTGTTTTATGGTTTAACCCTTTGAGCCTTAGCCATCGGGACACCGGTGGCACGTTACACTGCCCATATGCCTAGCCACTGGTACAACGGTGTATGAGACCCTATCCCCAAACTGGCCTGCCTGGGAAAAAATTCACACGAGAAATTGTTTACTGCCAAGGAGGTTATTGATCATTTCGAAGGTCTTTCTGAATTAGATGCGGGTAATAATGAGGACTACCCTGAGTGGGAAATGAAATGTTATTCTGACGATCCTGTAATGTTAGTAATATATTGCTCTGGAGCTCAGACAGAGGGGCACAGTAGCATTGGGAGGTTAGGGCTCAAAGGGTTAAAGAAAGGAGTGGGGAGGAAGCTGTCACCCCATCCAGGTTAGCCGTGAGCAGTGCAGATGATGAAGGTGGTGTGGTTGGGAAATCTTGCCACTGCTTGCGAAAGTGCTCAAGTGGTGTCCCTGCATGGAAACTTTCCTGAGTAGCCCGAGGTATAAAACAAATTTCATCGCTGTCTGCTTCCCTGAAAGAAAAATTTCCGGGACTCGTTACTTGAAGGGACGGGTGTTATTGGTTGATTCTGCTCGTTACATCGATGGGTGGGGCTAAGGGTGGTGACAACTAGTGCAGCATTCAGCAGTGCAATCTTCCCACAACCCCAGGAAGGGTTGGAGAAAATGACGAGAAAGGGAGGGCGAGAGAGATTTTTGGCTTGTGATAATGAGAGAGATTGAGTCTTTAGGAAGCTCAGAGATGAGGATGATGGGAGAGAAAGAAATTGTGGCATTTAGAGGCTAAGGGATGGAGGATCAAAGAGAGAAAGTGTAACATTTGGAGATGGTAGATAGATGACTTGTCTCTCTGTTCACTCTCAGATGGGCTAGGAGATGGTAGATAGATGACTTGTCTCTCTGTTCACTCTCAGATGGGCTAGAAGGCTCTCTTTCTGTGGACACATTGGCTGTGGTGGGCCTGGGTTGTTGACTGCTTGTGGGTTTTAAGTCTGGAGGCGTGAGTGTGAGTGAAGGAGAGAAATGGTCTAATGATGGTTTGATGGAAGAAACGTTTGCGTGGCCTTCCGATGGACTAGTCATGTACATGTACGGATAACAATATGTGTTGCTGCATCTGCAACTCGGTTGATATGCAAATTTTATTCTCCTGTGATTTAAATAAAAGACTTTTGTGTTGCTGGCCAGAAAGTTGGACAGAGATGTATGTACATGCGAGTCGAGAGAGGTCAGTACACACACACGCACGCGCACACACACACACACACACACACACACACACACACACACACACACACACACACACACACACACACACACACACACACCACACACACATACACCCACACACCCACACACGCTCTCTTCCTGCTCAACAGCAAGCTCTATGCGCTTTACGATCTATGTTATTTTCCCAGCAGACCTTATAGCATTTTGAGACAATCTCAACTTCACGGGAAGCATACAGTGTACCAATTTCTTTTTTATATTTATAAAGCAGTGTGACATAATTCTTTTGTTTTTGCAGAGTATAGAAGGATTTCCGTGAAGGGCTCCAGTTTGACAAGTTAGTTTCCAGCACTGTAGTCAGAAAACTATTTCTAGCTTCAATGCTGTAGTCCAAAAAGTTCTAGCTTCAAATTGTATTCAGTTTCATTCACACTGGTGTCTGTTGTGTTTTGGTATGGCTCTTCATTTTACTCCCAAAAGCAATCGAGTTGGTTTCCCATATTGGGAATATATATTTTCATGTCCCGTCTCTGTTTGTAGCAGCATGCCGTGTAAATTATCACATTTGTCACGACTCTGTGGAATCCGGCGCTCGTCATTTTTGGGCATGTGGAGGTATTGGTATCATATTAAAGCATTTTCATTTGTCTATCTTTCGATGATGAAAAAATCCATATATCTTTAACAGAAGATGAGATATTTGTAATTGACGGAGGAGGGTTTAGTCTGGTTTCAATGGTAATTTTAGTGAAAAATTGGCTGCCAAAGTTTGGTGACTCCTTTTGCTTGAGAACCCTTGGAAACTGAAAAGTTTCATATTTTTGTGCCTTTAATCAATGTTTTGCAGTAAAATCCACACGGAAATGTTTTTAAATGGACATAAAAGAAGGGGTTAAGCCAAAAACCAAAAAATCTGGAGCAAATTGTTAAACAGGCGTCAAAATGTCGGTTTTTCGTGGAGTCACCTGATTTCAGAGGTATAATTAGCGAGAAAGTGACTGCCAAAGTTTGATGATTCCGAAAGCTTGAGTGTCCTTGGAAACTGTAAATTAACATTTTGTGTACCTTTGATCAATATTTTATGGGAAAATCCACACAGAAACATGTTTTTAAACGGACATAAAAGGTGTTGAGCTAAATAATGAACATTAGAAAAAAATGACCCCATGGGCAGAAAGATGCCGATTTGTCTGATTTCATTATTTTGACGAGCGCCTGATTTCACAATGCCTCCTCATTTTTATCAACATAGAGCATTTAATTGAACTCTTGGGAATTCTAGATTTCTTTTCCAGGATAAATCTTGTCTTTAAAAAAATAATGGTCTCCACGGAAATATTTATTTCGCAGCTACAACAACCTTTACGTGTTTGCGCCATGACAGAACAGACTTTTGTGAACCCATTTTTGTTATGTTCTATTTATTGTTTTCTGTACTGCCCAGTAATGAAATGAAATATATAAGATGATAAGGCATTCACATTTTTTTGTGTCTTATGGTCTTCATTTCTTTCCAAACATGACCTAGTCACCTGGAATTAAAACCACACTGGTCTCGTCAACTGAAATACTAATGGTTTGTCCATTGTATTGTTGTTTTGTTGATTTTCCATCCACTTCTTTTAGTTTGCCTTTTTCTTTCTGCCCTGATTACTTTGTTCATTAACAATACTTTGGTCTTCTTGTGAATGCTTATTTTTTTGTCATCCAATTTGATTTTGTTAATAGTTCTGTTTTAGTTTTGTTCTTACTATTACTGACTACATGTTTCTTTAATTATTTAGTAGATTTCATGTTGACGGTCATTCTTAACAATTTAATGGCTTCGTGGTTACTTTGTTGGAAGATTTTTAAAATCTGGTCTTCTTTACTATCTCTGCTTAACGACTTGCCTTTTTCGTGTGTGATGATTCATGAACAAACCAGTTATGACTGTTCAGTTGTCAACAGATGTTGTTGATCTTGCTGTTATTAATGTGTGCCTATACTATAAGAGTAATTCACAGGTAGATGATGGAATGGTGGCGTGAACTGTACGGGAAGTGGCTGCAAAGTCCATGTGAATGGCTCAAGTTACTATTCATATGATTTTCTTTTCCTTTTTTACTTCTCTTGGCTTGAGTGTTTCTCTCTGTCTGTCTGTCTGTCTGTCTATCTGTCTGTCTGTCTGTCTGTCTGTCTGTCTGTCTGTCTGTCTGTCTGTCTGTCTCACCTTTTTCTTGTTTATTATTTCTTTTTCATGTTTTCTTTCACGTAAAATGAAGTTTGAAATATCTTAAAAAAAGATGAGTACGCATTTTTGTCGATAAACTCAGCTTACTGCCAATGTTGATTTTTTGTTTTCAATAAGAGCTACCTCCTTGACAGCACTGACGCTGTATGGAAAACTGTGTGGAGCTCACTTTCTCCTGTACCCCTCTGCCCTTGATTCAAACAGTGCTCAAGACTCTTGACCTTTTGAGGGAATTAACCTTTTGAGCCCATAGGACTGGTACATCAGTAGCATGCCCCTCGGCAACAGTAATTCGTAGCGATGGTTCTCTGGTGTGAGGAAAGAATTTTTGGGCAGATAAAGGCACTAATTTTTTAATCGTAAGAGAACGCTAGTTTCTGTCAACATTTTAATATGGGATATTGACCCGTCTATGCCCTGTCACATATTATATGTTTTGATCACAAACTGTGCCAATTTACACAAACTGTGCCGATTTACTGAGTTTTTCTATTATGAAGTGCTCTCTTTCTGACTCTGGAAGCTCAGGGGGCCAAAATTTGGGTAAAATTAGAACAAGGAGCTCAGGGCTCAAAGGTTAAGACTTGTTATTTCGATGTGAGATTACTTTGATTATCCACACAGTAAGACTTCGTGGGATGTCAGATGCTGCTCTTTATTGTGATTTTTTTCTCCATTGTATTTAAAAAAAAAAAAATATTCTTATGCTTTGATTTTCATGCATTTATTTTTCTATTCAGTGTTTAATGATATGTAAATTGACAGTGTGCTTGGGTGCGTTTGCATATGTATGAAATATTCCCTCAAAAAAGGGCATTTGTGAGTGTTTCGAATACCCTCTTAACAATGACTGACATATTTTCAGCTCTCAGAAATTCTGCTATTGCCTCATGGTTTTTACAGGCCATCCATTGTATTTGAATAGTTAGATGAAGTTGTTAGTTGTTGTGTGAACACTTTGTGACAGTGTCAAAGTGGAACGATATGACATCCTATCTCTGGTGTAATTTTATAGTGGGAAATCATTTATAAAGGCTGTTCATTTAAAAGATAAAACGGCTTATTAGATTAACTTCTGATGATCTATGAGTTGGACAAAAGAGGTTTTCAAACTAAGCCTAACTCTGTTTGTGAGGCAGCGTGGTGGAATCAGGCTCTCGTCAAAATAATCAAAGTGAAGAAATTTGCATTTTTCCGCAGGTTTGTGAATTTTTATCAAATTTTTGTTTTTTGGCTCGACACCTGTCAAGCCCCATTAAAGAACTCATTTCTGCTTTGAATTTTCTGAAAAACCTTGGTTAAAGGCACACAAAATGTAAATTTTCAGTTACCACGGAGTTGTAAGCTAAGGAAATAACTAACCTTTGGCGGCCATTTTCTCACTAATTTTACCTTTGAAAACAAGTGACCCCCACCTCCTTCATTCGCAAATATCTCGGCTTGTCTTCAAGATAAATGATGT